GACAATTTGGGATTTTTTTTGGTGGTTCTATACAAATTTTAGGATTATTTGTTCTACTTCTGTGAAAAATGCCTTAGGGATTTTGATGGATATTGCATTGAATCTGTAGATCGCTTTGGGTCATATGGACATTTTAACAACATTAATTCTTCCAATCTGTGAGCACAGAAAATCTTTCCATTTGCTCAAAGTTTTCAATGTATAGGTCTATCATTTCCTTGGTTAAATTTATTCCTAGGTATTTAATCCTTTTTTTAAACAGTTGTAAATGAGATTGATTTCTTAATTTCTCTTTGTGATAGTTCATTATTAGTGTATAGAAACACATAGACTTTTGTATATTGATTTTATATCCTGCAACTTTACTGAATTTGTTTACTAATTCTTACAGTTTTTGGAAGGGTCTTTTAGGGGCTTCTATATATAAAATTATATCATCTGCAGTGACAGTTTTACTTCTTTCTTTCTGATATGGATGCCTTCTGTATCTTTTTCTTGCCTAATTGCTCTGTCTAGAACTTCCAGTACTGTGCAGGCTTGTCATATGTGGCCTTTATTATCTTGAGGTATATTTTCTCCATACCTACTTTGTTGAGAGTTTTTATCATAAATGGGTGTTGAATTTTATCAGATGCTTTTTTTCTGCCTCTATTTAGAGGATCATATAATTCTTATCCTTCAGTTTGTTAATGTGGTGTGTCACATTTATTGATTTGCAGATGTTGAACCAGCCTTGCAAACTTTGAGTCTGAGATTTTCAAGGCAGGATTGGTTTTCATGGCTTATTTCTCTTTCTTAGATATGTCTTTGCAGGACTCCACTCTTTCCAGAGAGGGGAGCCCCAAGGAAGAGATTATGGCTGCTGTGGTTTTTTCAGTTGGACCTCTGGTAAGTTAGGGTTTCCTCTGGTTCTGACCTATTGTCCTGATTTGAGAGCATGTCTACTTTTCCTTAAGTCATGTGACTTCTCTACCTCACCCACATCCCTTTGGGTAACTGAATCAAATTGTTTGATTCATGAAAGTTGAGTTCATCATAGTAAAGCTTGTAATCTATAGGAAGATCCACTATGCATATTGAACTAAATACCAAGATGCATGACCTTGCAAAAAATATCTAGGCTATCTTTAGATATGATAGGCAGTCTGGGAAATTTACTTATGATGTTAAATTTTTATTGTTCCTAGGAAATTTCAGTTAGATATGGGGTAGTAGAATGCAGTATTTTCCAATTGGAAAATTTTTTTTAGGAAATTGAAAAAAAATACATGTACACACACACACCCACTTAATTCATAGGGACCATTCCCCTTGTGCCCACTCTTAGTGTTCTCCTCTTTTCTACCCATTAAGAAGTGATCAAGCTTAATAGATGACATGGAGAGAAAGAAGATGTTTAAGACACAGTGCTTGGCTGTAGGGAGCTTACAGTCTCATTGAGGTAAGGCATACGAAAGAAATAGTTACATAATTTATTTAGGTGAATGATAGTTGCTGAGCAGTATGATAAAGTTGATGAGTGCTATGTAAGGAAAGAAATGGGTTATTAGCATGGGCTACATTGGTCATGGAAAGCTCGTGAGGATGGTTAGATTTAAGCTGGTACCTGATTACCAGTGGGATTTAAATTGTCCTAAATTATTTGTGAGGATACTTCAGGTGAGAAGGCAAGGCTCTGAGGCAGAGAACAGTGAGTGAGTTAGTGATTCAAGATCGAAATTTGTGAATGGTAGGACTGGTTGTTGGAGATTTAAGCTGAATCTTTTAATGTTTCCCTGAAAATATTTAAGTGTGTGTATGTAAGTGTGTGTGATTGGGTGTGTTTGAGGTGGGTATTAATGTGATTAAAGCTGTGTTTTAGCAGTGACTTTTTGAAATAGGAGATGCAGAAGAAAGGTGTACCAACATAGAATTTGTTATGGTAATGACCCATAATAACCTACAGTAGTGATCCTTTAGTCTTTGTAGCAAGAATGCATAACAGGTGTATGGTCCTTAAGACACACCCTTGAAAAGATCTAAGTATTTGTGTAATACAGGCCCTGATCAAACCCATCTCTAATTATCAGAGTTTGAGATTCACATCATCTTAAATTTTCTGGAAGCTGAATATATGTATTATTTAAGATAAGAACTTGAGAGGGGAGAACTAAGATGACATATTTCTCAGTGAAATTTAAGTAAATAGTTCTATTACCCATAACTTTTTAAAATGGCACAAAACCTAAAATCAATAAGTACTACTGAAAGGTATACTAAAATTTCCCTTCATTTATAAAATCAAGCCCTTGTAGGCATATAGTGTCTAAGGTTTTGAAGAAAACAATATTGTGAGAGGTCCCTGGCATATTTCTTGAATGAACATTAAAACATGCTTCCACCCCTAGACACTGTAATGATTTTCCAACTATAGAAACAGATAGTTTTAGTAGGTTTTGAATATTATTCTTGAGCAAGATAGGTAATTTCCAAGAAACAGATTTCATCCTCTTATGAAAAAGGAGAATTATGTAGCATCTGAGACCCCTTATTGTAAGTTTAGTTTTATTTTGGTAGGTTCTTTGTTAAAAGTCTCCTTTAGAAATTATGGAGTTGTATCTCAGCCTTGTGTATGTTTGTTATTGTCTCAAACAAGGTGAAAGAAGATTATGATTGGATGTTGCTAT